ACATGATTACGAAAACGAGAAAACGTAAACAATATTTCAAATACATATAATTTTAGTAACATTTTATACATATGATAAATCAAGATATTTTCTTGCAACAAAAAATTAATTGAATTTAATTTTATATACACATATTAAATAAATAATAAATGGATAGATCACTTATATGCAAAATAGATCATTTTAAACAAAGTATTTATACAAGGCGCAAAAAGTTCTTTAAATTGCTTGAAATTTGTAAATGAAAAAAAAAAAATCTTATCCATGTCTAGCGAATACAAAAATTGTCAAGAGATTTTTATAAATGTACTTCCTGTAAAGACAAAACGATAGAGACCCATTAAATATATTACATTTCTCCAAGCTTTCCGATTACGACGAATTGCAAGAAAGACGGAATCGCATCAATTACTTTGATCCGCCGTACGTGCGATCTTATCGCCTAACGTCGAGCATATCGCTGATAGGATCATGACGACGTAATAACAGATTTTCGCAGAATCGAGGAGTTCTTTCTCCATTCTCTAAACGCCGTAATCTTTATCCAATTTGTTCTCACGACCCGTACCCGTGCACTATTTAGATACAATCCATGTTCCACGCGGAAGAACGCAGGTGCGTCGTCGATTTTTTGACACGTGTTCACGAACGTTGACAGGAACCTATTACACGTGTGTTAATTGCCGTCTCTCAAGGAACGCCTAATCAACGAGCGAGAGTAGAAAGTGTAGATCGTCACAGTGGCACAAAGAGTTTAAACTAATTAAAGCAGTAGTTTCACAAAAAAAAGAACGTAACAATGTTCTCTGTCCTCTTCACAAATATGTATTATTACAAGACGCAAATTATTTTTATATTATCCTTTTTTATTTGTATAAAAAATATTAATATAATATAAATATGTATTTTTTTTATGTGAAACTTGTTGAATTATATATTTTATTTAAATAAAAAGATGTCATAAAATTTATTGCACAAAACCGTTTGACTTTATTACAAAATGTAGATCTACGTGATATTACTTCATTTCAAATAATTCCAGAACTCAATAATAATGTCTTATCATTAATTGAACTTATAATGAATACGCGAAATTTTTTTTAATTATGAAAATCCGCGGACTTTCAGTTACTCCTTTCAATACCGATCTAATTAGAAGTAAATGATTTTGAACCAAATTCCTATTAGTTCATTGGCTATGCGATGAGCGCTTTCACAAGAGAACGGAAATTACGAAATTTGTGTTAACTTATGGCAAACGTAGCCAGTCTTCGGCGGGGAAAAGTCTTGGACGTAATGATATTGATAATTATCGGATCACGTGAAATTAGCTTATGGATCATTACATCTGCTTCTTGATTCATCGCAACTCGTTAAGATACCTTACGCACCGTGAATGCATCCCACTCGATCATAATCTACGCAAATATTCGACTGTCGCAAGACTGCTCGAGTTTCGTCGAATTATTTTTTTTTTTTTGCAACGTTTCCCTGATAATTTATTTAGGGCGATTGCGTGAGAAAATGATTAATGCTTACATTTATACGCATACGAAAAGTAGTTCAATTATATTTCTTAAAAAAAAAATTAAAAAAAGATGGAAATTATTATACAATCATTTTACAATCATTTTATAGATATAAATCAATCCAGGATAACTCATTTTGATCGATCATTTGAACGGGATAATTCGAATCATTGTTTTGACATCTTCATTTCATGATTGGCTTGAATATTAATAATGTAATTATAAATCCCCGAGTGAATGACGTTTATTAGTACTGGATCGAAACGCAAAAGAAAAGTTGCCCGCGTGCCCGCGATGATATTTTGCTTTCGGTTTACTTACGATTTCTCAGCGAAGAAAGTCCCCAGCATGCAACTTCCCTTTCATGCTGCATCCATATATACGCAAGTTGCAAACAGGGTCACGCCGATGAAAGTCAATAATAACACTTGCGCGAGCAAATACGGGTGTCTTTTTGATTTGCATAAGTAAGCGCCATTCTGTGGGTGCTAACAAACATTAATAAATTTCATCTTTGACGATCTCAAGCGACCTACCGTCATCCTTGACGGTAGAGGACATTTTTCTTTGCCTTTCGCTACCTTTGTACATGCATATGTGTGTGATGTGTGTGTGTGTGTGTGTGTGTGTGTGTGTGTGAGCGCGTATGTGTGTGTGTGTGATTATTTTACAAGATAAGAAAACCTCCTCTTTCATAGAGATTTTAATGTCTTCTGTTTCCCGCGGCTTAATACTCGTCGAGTATTATACACGGCTATCCACCTAACTACCTCGTCATAATCGACCTCTTCGATTGCAATTCTGTTAATGTCACAACACGATGTCCTGCGTGATCTATATCTTTGTATGGACTTTTCTCGATAGCATAAAGGACTCGAGCTTACATGAATGGATCTTTCTAATATGGATCTTTTCTTCTTTTCCGAGTGCTCGGTTTGTAATGTATGATGATAATTAGCGTTCCAACTATATATCTTGTATTTGACTCAAATCAATTTAATAATTAAACTAAATTAGAAGAACCGTTAAGTCATTTTAAACATATCTCAATTTTATATTAAGTAATAACATAATAAGTTTAAACTTTTAATTATAATTATTCGTGTAGAGGCAAAAAATTATTGTGCGATCAGAGTTTTTGTAGAAAAAAAAAAAAAAAAATCACGAAAAAAATCTATCTTCGAGGAAAATGAATTGACACCTAATGGATGGGCTACTGCGTTTTCGGAATACTGCGCGATTAATGTGTACAGCGAGAGCAAAGTGACGCAAGACACGCGATAAACCTTTTTGCCTGTCGTCGTTCGCCATTAGAGCGAACGCAACTCGCGCGAACGGTACCGTTCTGCATGAAAGCGCGGTAACGGCGTCGTAAATAGTTGCGCTTGCCGTTGTTGTAACGTCCGACGAGGATGAGAAGCGGCGAAAGGGACGAGAGCGAGTACGAGCATCGTCCGCAGCATCCCGCCGCTGTTACGTACTCGTAGAATGCGATGCGTACCCACTGACCGGCTTCACGTAACGTTCCGCGACAGGCACGGATTTATGCTCCATTACGGATTCACGCATCGTATTCGAAATATGTAAATGAAGCGGAATGTGCCACCACGAAAGCTATTAGAAAAAAATAATTATCTTTTTTTTTAATAACCTTATATTTAAGTTAATTTAAATCAAATTAAAATAAATTAATGCTCGTACACTCTTTGTTTCGTAACTTGATAAACTTGAGATCAATGGAAATAACGATTTAGTGATATCTAATTTTAAAATATTTAAAATATTTGCAGCAGGATTATTTTAGGGGTGTATTCCTTAAGCGTATTCACAATGAAACGCATAAGTTCAAGATCTTTAATGACAAAGTTCAGAACAACAGTATCCCGCGTGTCTCCGTACATCTGATCTTGTCCGCAATATCTTGTAATATACCGCGCATGTCGACGAAAGTAGGCTCTAATTTTAACGTAATAGCCTGCGGTTTGCCACGCAATCGCCCCTCCCTTTTGCCTTTTAAAAAAATTTAATTAAACAAAAAACTTCGCTCCGAGGGGTCGGGTAAGCGTTCGCTCTTAATTAAGATACCGATCGCCGACCTGGCTTATAACGCTCGTACGAGCGAGAGGCGACCTGCGGCCTCGAAAAATCGCACGCACCAGGTGAAAATGGCGTACGACTTACCGCAGCTGGTCACTCGAGTGCTGCTCGAGAGGAAAGCCGGAGGTGGGAGAGAGGAGATCGCCGGTTATGCAAAAGGCGAAAACGGTCACGTGTGTACGCCGCAAACCGTGGCAATGTCATCGAACTTATATAATGCGTCGCCTTACTTCGATTACACGTAGCCCTCCGAGCATATCGGATTTAATCCCTCCACGGATGGATGGATCGTGGTATAACGTCGCTTTCTATGGCATCTCAGGGATCGACGACTTCAACATTCCGCGAGTCGTAAGATGATGAGAATTGCCCATACATTTACATATTACCTACAATTTTAAGTAATCGGACGAGCAATTATTTGCCGAGTGCCTGAATACTCGTCTAACGATCGTCCGATCAAAGAGATCCTCCGGTTAACAGTCAATGGTCGAGCCATCGGAGCCTTCGGGATACTCGTATCTTCTTAATTGGCTTAACTAGGCAGATGCTCGGCTGCCTGGTAACAAGGAAAATCTAATCCGCACCGATGGAAGGGAGGGGGGGGGAGGGAGGGAGCGCGGCTATTAACTCATCCGCGCGGCACAGAGAAGGGAGGATGCTGGATCCTCCACGCACGGAGGAGAGATTCCGGCGAGAGGCGCGACCCGCGCGGAATTCCTCGTCGCGCGCGGGGGATGGCCCGGCCGTTCGTAGATAGGCGCAGGTGAGAGGGCCCCCGCGAGAAGAAAGGTAAGAGGTCCCACGATCTCAGGGATCCCTACCGCGCCGGCCGGCGAGGAGACGCGGCGACGGACGAGCCCCGGTCGAGAGGAAGAGCCCGTCGAGAGCTGAGCCGAGTCGACGTGATCGCGTCGAGGTGCGCAGTGCTGTCTCTTTTCGCGGTGGACGAGCGTAACCCGGGGCCCCGGTCCGCCGCACGACGCCCATGCGACACCGAGCAAAATGCCGAAAATTGGCCTGCGTACTCTGTGTAGTAAGTGTCGAACGCACGTGTCGAACGTGCGGGAAACCTGGGGAGACTCGAGGGATCGGCGTGCCTCGCGATCAGCTATCGCGCGCCGATCACACGAGTGATAGTGCGCGTATCTCGTCTCTCGTTTATTTTGATCACGCGTGTTAGCTCACAGCCGCGGACAGGTAAGACAATCCGGCTGTGGCGTATGTTAATCGAGCGAGCGGCTTTCAACGATCACGATTGAATAATTTTTTAACGACATGCCGATCACAGTATGGACAGCAGCGGTAAAGTAGTAGTAACGAAAGCGCGCGCCGAGGTTCGTGAGTCAATTATCTCGGTGGGAACCCGATGACTCGACATCGGGGATGGGTCGAATACGTAAAAAGTTCCGACGTTCCGAGAGTCATGATATGAAATTCTGACGTAAGACTTTTACTCTTCGTATAATATTTTCAGCGTCTTTTATTTATGAAATGATAAGTCAATGAAAAAAAAAAAAAAAAAAAGAGATTATTTGATCGTTAAATAGAAATCTTGATAATCTACTCATCTTAATAATTCATTAAATATTTTATTAAATAGATATATTACGTTCATAATTTTTAAACACATAGTTTGTTATCTCAAATATTAATTATTAAAATTATTGGAAGATAACTGAATTATTAATTCCAATCGATTCAGATTGTCTCTGTGCTAGATACTCAAGCACAGTTAATTAGAAGCATGAACATTAATTATAAAAATATGAGTCTTTAGAAACTCGTGAAAGAAAAAGATAAAAGAATTGTTTCTGGCAGTTTCTTTAAGATAATCATCTTAATTATGTACTTAAGTTAGCGATTGAAGTAATAGATTTTAGCGAGTGTTCGCAACTTCAATTTGCAATTTCTATTTAAAATTTTTTTATTTGCATTATGCATTATTCATTGTGCGTGTTAATGTATGCATAAAAAGGAAAAAAATATTAATTGCTGAAAATATATTTTACCTGGCGCTGTGGTTTGAAGTTAATCTTCAGGGAAAACTAAAATCGTAATAAAACGATTTATGAAGAACTTAATTTATGAAGGTCTTCACTTTCCTCTTCTCTATCCGTTACAGTCGCAAATATTACGCAACGCGCGATCTTTCAAGCGTCTTCTCATCGGTAGCAAGCCTAATCAATCATCGGTGAGCGCGATCCAATTATAATTAAGAAAAGACCACTTATCCGTATTTCACCGCGATGGTCCATTCATGCAAACTCCGAGACGACGTTCACGCGATGCTGGAAAGAAGACGTTGAAGTAATACGCTCATAAATTAAATCATTTTATGACCCCGAGGTATTACATGTATCGGAATTATTAGATTTTTTGTCACGATTTCGACAGTCCGACACGTGTAATTTACAAATGCGCCGTGTAAATTGCAACAATTGCCGTGGAAAATTTTATTGCTCGCGTGTGAAACATATGGCTCTTTGATTTGACATTAGCGATCGTGTAACTCGTAACGGACAATGATATAATATGGATACGTTGACTGTTGATGTTTAATAAAACTTTCCATTCCGAATTTCTGGAAATTTCCTGACTCAAAATATTTTTTTGAAAAATGCGAAATTATATTACGATCGATATTTCTATTAAGATATTAATATAATTCAATATCTTTTGCTTTTGTCAATATTTCAATAAGATGTCACAAAAATAAGTAATAAAAAATTAAATTTTTTGTTGTTTGTTTAAAGCTGAATTGTACATGATAAAAAAAATAATACATTTTTATAAAATTAAAATACATACAGAATTTCAAAGAGGTAGGAGAAATGGATGGAAATTTTATTGAGAAAAATATTTTTACCGTCATTTTTTGCATCTATTCTGAACTATTCGACGTACGAATTCTAAATTTAAAGTATCTTATTTGCGGGTGTTCGATATGCAAAAAGTCAAACTGCCAGCGACCAGCTGAATTGACTGTTCAGGACAGCTGGTTTAAGTGGCACCGTGAAATCCGATTTGTCTTGGGTCTCAGTGACGCGAATATTAAAAGAGCGTTGTTTGCGAGGACACTTTCGCCGCCGGAAATTGGCGCCACTAATTACTCTCGTTCTGCCGCAATCGCAAATTACTCGACATTTTCTCTCGGAGGTCGCATCGTTCTGCGTGCATATCTTTTGTACTGTCTGATCATTAATTTCGCGATGAGTCAGGTGGAAAATAATTCACGGGCGATTTCTCGCGAATCGAGCGATTTGTAACACCGAATAAACCCGCTCTATCACGACCACCGGTCTTCGTCGTGCTCATTCCACATGGCCTTTGCGTCCTTTTAATGCCATTGAAAATGGCAGCCACAAGAGAGAGAGAGAGAGAGAGAGAGAGAGAGAGAGAGAGAGAGAGAGAGAGAGACGTACGTACGGT